TAATGAATTATCGGAAATCTAAATATAATAATATGTTCATATAAAAATAAAAATATACTACAATCCGATTATTACCGATAGGCGATAATGATCTAAGATAAAATTATTGCCGCCGTCGCGGACTATATTATTATATTATATTGTGTACATGGCGCTCGCGCATTCACGCTCAAATATAATTATTTACATTTACTTTATGTTATTATAATATTAGATGATATTGTCAGCCATCAAGTCGATTATCAGATCTTTATTTTTTAGTGCACCTATAATAGTAGCATATAGTTGTGTAGTTATATAGTTATAGTTGCACTTAGTTTTTGTAAATCCAAAAATTTTCCAATTTTTTTAAAAATGGGAAAATTTAAAAAAAAGTGTTTGTCGAAACGAAAAAAAATGAAAGGCAATGTATTAAATTTCCAAAAGAAAATAATGGAGATATCAAACGACGGCTTAGTTGATTTGTAAGTTAATTTATATTGAATTATTTATTTTAAGTTTTGAGTGAAGCAAGTTTGTGTTATGCTATACAGTATGTCTCAAAAATCCTGTACGACCCCGAGGATCTCGACACTAACTCAATATTTTTGAATGAGGTTTTTTCGAAAATAAACCATGGTAAAAATTTCAATTTCAAATTTTTTGTTCAAAAATTTAAAATTGTTTTTGTTAAATTTTCATAATAGCTATTTTTTTTTACTTTTTTTCAAAAGTAAATTAAAAAAGCGTGGTCAAGTGAGTAACGCTTTGCTGTATAGTATGGTCACTACTAATGTATTAAATTTGAAACCAATGATAGGTATCACGATTATGAACGGAGATGATGATTTATTGTCATCCTAAAATATATTTCCCAGTGGGTGGTGAAAAAGATGGTTTATGTTTTAATGATCTGAATAACCCTAAATTTAAATTCTTTTATAATTATTGTAAGCCAAACTTATGGAAAATCTTATATTAAACTTTCAACTCTTAGCTACTTATCGGTATACAAATTTTTTATAAATTTTAATTATAAAATAATTTGCAAATATTCATGATTTTGACGAATTTTTGTCAATATTTGAACTTCAAATGCTATTAAAAAAAATTGTGCCTAGTATTCTTACTTTTTTTTAATCACTATAAGAATAACTAATGAGGAACTTTGTATTATTAATTTTTCAAGTATTTTGACTGTCAAAATTTTTTATCGATATTTATAAAAAAAAAAACTAAACAAAAACGAATATTACAAATGCTTATAAATAGCATTAAAATAAATGAAATATTTTGAAAATTAAATTATGTAAAGAAAATGCCAATCTAAATAATTGGTGAAATTTTCAAGTATCTACGAAGTATATACTTTTTGAATAATAACAAATATTTAAAATCGTTTGAGGATGAATCGTTATTGTTACGTGATTTCGTAAAAATTTTAAATTCAAACGCTCATAACATTTTTCCTATAATGACGCTTCGAGTTTTCTCTATAACGTTTTGAAAGAAAACTTATGGAAAACTTAGTGTTAAATTTTTTTAACCTTAGATACAAATAAAACATTTTTTATGAATTTTCAACTACAAAATTACTTGTAAATTGAAGTATTATTTTGACAAGTTTTGCTGTACACAGACACAAAAACAAAAAAACACATATCAATGTAAAATCAATACATCCATCACTCGTTCAGAATCTAAAAAACAAATATTGAAATTGATTTAAAATTAACCTTAGTTACAGATCGTTTAGTTTTTTAGAAAAATACAAAAAAAAAATAGTATTTATCTAGATCAAACGCTAATTTATTCATAAAATTTTAAGAATGTATTTATTAGATTAAATTCATTAGTTTTTATCTTTATAACTATATAGAATCTCTAACTCGGCTTCGAATAATTCCATCCCAACTGCTGTAAAAGAAAACATCCATGGAAAATTTTCAAATACATTTACTCCAGACGATATGACGTTGGCTGTACCGTTGAACAATGTACATGATATTTCAAAATATAAATATATATATATTAAAATTTCTTGATAGAAAAAGTACTGTTGAGTAACAATAATTTTATTTTATTATAATTAATTTTGTGAGTTTTTTAGTATTATAATAAATAATGCATAAATATTAATTGTTGATAGTTATTAGTATGACTATTGATTATAGATAATCTATGATATAATATATGATATACTATCTATAATCAATGGTATGACCAATACGTAAAAGCGGAATAAATCATAACGATAATATACCGGCACAGTTTTAAATGGTCATTAGAGCGTTCGTATTAGTCGTATTGATAAAGATAATAAAAATAATAATAGACGCGACACACTGCACGTCGGTAATCGGCGACGCAGTGGAACGATAGATGGGTTGCAGTGCAGGGAAGTCACTCACACTAATGATCATTTACTACACACAAACATACACGCCACGCACGCCGCACGTATTTACAAAATGTCTAAAAATTGCCTATACTCAACTCCTTAAAAATGGTCGGTATATTTTTAAAATTGAACTTATAATTAAATGATTTTATTTAGTCACTATTAATACATCAAATTGTTGGTGAAAATATAAAATAATAATTGATGAGGTCTATTTATTTTCAATAATTCAAATATTTTTAAAACTATAACTAATTAAATCATTATTATCAACAAATGTGATTATTTCCCGTATTATGTGAAAATATACCCAGAAAAGTATTATAAACCCTAAATTAGCAAAATAGCAATAAAACACGTAAATATGCAAAAAAAATAGCAAAATTCAAATTTGTGTATGATATCCAAGTAGTTCGAAACATATTTGTATCTTATTTTGGATGTTCTAGGATGAACCAAGAAAAATATGCATTTGCTAGAACTTCCGAGCCCTGGTAATGATGAACATGATTTAACAGTAGAATTATGACAATTTAAATTACAAATGCCAGTTTACTTACATTATACAATATACGTGCAATCAAAAACTGGGTTGACAAAGACTCTTTGTCTCATAGTTTGCTTAGGTTGGAATTATGGGCCTCAGGGGTAATGAATATTACTCCTGGTATAAATAATTCATTGTTTTTTGTACAAAATTCATGTCCGAGAAAAAAATTATAGGTTTTATTAATAATTGTTACATTTGAATTAATCGCAATCGAATAATACGCGTTTATTAGACTTATAGCGTTGTAACAGTTTTCTAAAAACTTTTGGTTCAAATTAATCGTGAAATCTACCGATTCACTATTTAATGAACAATATTCTGTCTTCGATTTATTTTTATTTAATATTTCAGTATTCATTAAATAAAATAATTCAATGCTATTATTTTCAATTGCCGTGATAATGGATTCAATGTTTTCGGGAACTGTAAAATGATCATCAGTCAAGGACATGAGTTTGTACAATTCTGGTGTTCCTGATTTATACCATTTAATAGATTTTTTCAGGCGCTGGAATACTTCGGGACCGATATTTTCAATGCTATTATGTTTAAAGAATAAATAAATTATTCTTGCTTGACACCAAACGAATTGGAATAAGTTATCAAGAATATAATTGTCAGTAAGAATTTTAAAATCAATAAGTGATTCTATATTTAAATTCCACGGTAATAGTAGATCGTAAAACACTAAATATGGTACATTTTCTTCATTATATTTTCCTATCTTCTCTTTTACTTCGTTCAAAGAATTGGAACTATGAGTTAGATTAATAATATATGTTCCACTTAACCATTCAAACGACTGCCAAATATAAATGTTTTTAGACTCGTAGAACTTATACAATTCAGTATAGATATTTAGAATTATTGATTCCAAGAATTGTTTGTCTGGAGCATTATTCATGAAGTACACATCATATTTAATCGTTTCGGTTAACATATCGTAATTTAACAATAATTTTTCATTTATCGACTGTTTTACACATTCCAAATTGTACAAAATGACTCCGTTCTCGATTCCACGCCATTGACATCGAACATTTAAAAAATGAGTCCAATCACTGCACAATAATAAATACAAGCTAAATACATTTAATAAATTTAGATTGTTGATATCATTACTACTCAAATGATACAGAATTAAAGGAATACGTGTACAAACTTTATCGAGCATACTAATCGATAATCTATCATTAATCGTTGTATAGTCGACACTGATAGATAGATCACTTTGATCGTTTTGAAAAACTCCCTGTCGAAAATGAATTACAATTCCACGGATAGCGTTAAGTAATAATTCATTTAATACCAAGAGACAGTTATCCGAACAATTTTTTTCTAAATCATTATCGTCATTTGTATTTAACAACGCCTTTCCTTGTTCATAAATAATTTTTTTTAACCCATGATTGAATGTGTTTAGTTCAGTAATGTTCTCGTTGTTAATAATTAACCGTGAAGATTGGGGAATTTGAAATTTTAACTCTTCTATAAATGAATAATCGTCTAAAATTGATTCACGTTTCCATACTCTACCTTGTATCATATATTTTTTATCAATTTTATTAATTATTCCCACTATAGTTTTTATAAAAGTCTCATCTTTTTCAATATCGGAAGGTGTTTTCATGGAAATTAATTTATTATTAAAAATTCGTTCGTATAACAACAATATACGTTTTTTTTCATTATTTGTTGAACAATTACGTGTTATGTCAAAGTGCTCAGTACAAGTTTGACTTTCTCTTAAGTATGTTTCGCGCGAGTAACAAAGGTCCGCATGTAAAGTGAGTATTTTGCCGAAATTTATAAATGTAGGCGCACAAATGTAAATTAAATCGATACATCGTGGAATATGAGAACATATTATCTCTACATAGTTTGATCGAAGTGTATCAAAAATTTTTTGTTTTATATTTTCGTTTATCAAAATCAAATTCTTCTCCGGAAGTGTTTTATAATAATAATAATTCAATTGTATTAAAATATTAAATATATTTTCCTCTAAGTACTTTAAATCTGTCAGTGTAATTAATTTACCACACCTATAGTTTGGCATTGGACTAAAACTTAATAATAAATCATTTTTTTCAATGCGACTGTTATAATTCTTCACGGTTTGAATCAATTCGTTTTCCAAACTTAATGTTTTGAATGTGTCAGTGTTAGTTATACTTACTGGTGATGTTCGTACACATACGAGTAATCCTTGAAAAACTAATAGTTTAAGTAAATACATTTTATAGTGTTATATATTTTATAAGTTCATGATGAATGAATTTAATACTTACTAAAAAATCTACTCGATGTAATTGGTAAATTTTACTAGATGTTAGGTTATTTATTAAATTTCATTTGAATATAAAACACTTGAGTATACATATAAATATCGAAAAACATAAGTACCTTATGCGTTTTTATTCACACTACAACAAATAACATTTGGTTTCATCGAAAATTCTATACTGTTCATTTTTTTCATACATGAATATTAAGTGGTTCTAGGCCAAAATAGCGAATTCTAAAATAAGCGATTATGCAAAATAGCGAAACAGCAGTTTTTTATAATTTCTATTTTGAATACTATACATTTTCAAAACTTATAAAACTGTAACACTATAACCTATTTTATTAATAATTATTATATATAATCAATGTTATTATTTATCATAGTAGCTAAAGATTTGTTGAGGTTATTCAGTTTCAAAGTTTGTTGTAACGTTACTGATACCATTGATTATAGAATAGATAGTCAACGCAATGTTAATATTTGGTGACTACTCGTAGGATGCAACCGCTATGGAGTGCTGGCGTCGCTGGGAGGAGGTGGTACCTCTATCGAAGGTAGATGAACGACGAACGCGGTGGGTGCTAGGATGCAAGGTGGTAGTACCTCTATCATAGGTAGATGAACGACGAACGCGGTGGAAGCTAGATGCAAGGTGGTGGTACCTCTATCATAGGTAGATGAACGACGTACGCGGTGGGTGCTAGGATGCAAGGTGGTGGTACCTCTATCATAGATAGTCAAGAAGACGGGAAGGCAATCACGCGGGGTCGGCGAAAAATACCGTCGTTCTATTTATAGAATTATTTTTCATGTAAAATGAAAAATTGAAGTACCATTATATGTATTCCCATTATAATCGATAAAATTAGCGATTATTATTTTATCATTATTTCGTCAATATTTTACCGTTTACTCTGTGAACATACGAATTACGATTAGTCTTCACGTAAGAATTCTTTTCTGCAGTTGTCACTTGTCAATGAAAAAAGGTCTTGCTTGTTTTATATTCTAAGTATTTTGCCTTATTGTTATTTGTTACGTACTTTATTTTTTATTACTTTTACGTTTTGTGAGTAATTTTAAAAATGTCTGGTAACAAGTGCCAATTTTTAACTTGTGGAAAGTCGAAGAAAACATTTCCAAACTTGAGTTTTTTCCGTTTTCCCAATGATGAAAGAAGAGAAATTTGGATAATTAATTCGGGTAAATAAATATTTTAAATTTATAAAAAGAGCTCAGGTGTTATTTTTTCGGTTTATTAGATTTGTTACCAAGTTAGCTATAAATCTCTTTTATTAAGTGATACTGTTCGCGCAAACATTTTCAAGCGATAAACTTTGTCGTACACCGACCGGTTTGACCAGTGGCGTGGATATATGGTTCTTTCGAGAACATTCTATCACCACCTTTATTATTATGGTCGGACCGGAAAAAATCCACTTCGTCGCTGAAATGCTAGTTAGTACGCCTGCAACTTTCAATGCGGTTTTGCTGTGCGACCACATTGCGTACTCATTTTTTTAGTCGACATTCGGATGCTGAGAACCAATAACAGTTTGCTGTACACAAGATTGCCGGCTCTATCCGTGAACAAATTACACTTTGCTGTCGAAGAAGTCGACCATCGGCTCTAGTGTTCGTCGCACGTGCTAAGCGGGGTCGCGTGGGCGCAACCAATCGAACACCCAGCCGCCTAAGGTATTATCGTCGCACCTTGTAACATGTGGCGTCTTGATTTTATTATATCGCCTTTTTTTTGTGCCATATTTCAGTAAATTATCGTGCCGTAGTGGCTTATTATATGTGTTATTATTATTATTATTATTATTACTTAATTGTATCTAATTTTTTTTCTTGTTAATACGTCCACGACGCATGTTTTTTATATTATTATTATAATTACATTTGTTGCAACAATCATATAAATTGTATTCATCGAGCTAAGCGACCTTCTTTCATCCGTAAAAGATCCGGTGCTTAATTCGGACGTGTATGGTCAGATTTCGGCATGGATGCCGTGTCGACTTAAGCACGTACAATATTTGGTAGCAGAGCGTGGTTTGTGTCGTTATTAGTTCGACTTGAGTATATCCGTTCATATGTGTTATCTGTGTAATTGTAATAACGTTGATGACTTGTGAATCCTCTATCGTCTTGTATTTATCGTTTCACTATCTCCGTGCGGCAACATGATCTGTATTCTTGTTTTTATCGATCACCTAGTCATTATAGCTAGTCATCATTATTTTGATTATCAATCTGTGTAAGCAAGATGTTACGTATCTGCGTTTATTAAGTTTCACGACGGTGATCCAATTAGTTTTATTATTATTTTTTTCTTGAACATAGTGCTCGTGCTGTCGTCGTCTACTTATCATTCGAACTGGTTGTTCTTGTATTATTTACGATTAAATACCAGATTTTTTTTGCTACTTCGTTCAAGTGTATGATTTATTTCTCATCGCATTTTTCTGACCATAATAAGTAAACTATGACGAATACAGCGGAAAGAGATAGAGAACTTAGAGCGCTGGAAAGGACCAAGAAGACGACAATTATAGCTCGTGATTCCATCTTCAATAGAATCAAAAGTATTTACGACTCGTCTACTCAACTAATGTCGGACGCGAGTCTTATAGCTCGTTATTTGATAGCTGTTGGTGATTTAGATTTGTTGTGGGAATCGTTCATGAAAAGTAACCAGGCGGTGTTGAATGCCCTTTTAGATTTAGATTTAGAAGATGAGTTTTCCACAACTCAGGAGACAGAAGTCCGCGCATGGTATATTGATGCTGTTACCATAACCGACAAATATCGAACAACCCCTACAGCAAGCTCGTTATGTAATGGTGAACTCATTGATTCAGAATCGATTAAATCCATGAATTCAAACGCTAGTGGAAACAATTCTCGTTCTCGTCTACCGGAAATCCCTTTACCATCTTATAGTGGGGATCAACTTGGTTGGCCGGTATTTCGAGATCGATTTAACACTCTTGTGGTACAACGTTCTGATCTTTCTAACATAGAACGTTTTCATTAACTGCTGGGATGTCTGAAGGGCGACGCACTTCACGCAATAAGTCATATTCAAGTATCCGAAATTACGTATGAATTAGCATGGACGACCTTGTCGGATACATTTGATAAGCCAAGACAACTCATTGTATGACACTATCGTTAGTAGTCTCCTAATATTTATAGCAATATGCGGCTCATCTAACAAGAACAAAAACTACCTATATATAAAGTAACCATATATTTTTTTAATCAAAACGGGACACAAAAAAAAAATCATAATTATTTTTTACAAACAAATATTTTTAATTTAATAATATTATTAACAAATTTCTGTGGTACTTTTAATGTTTTTAAAGGACAAAAAAATTAAATTAACTTATTACACTTACTAGGTAATTAACTTATTATAAACAAAATGTTTTCGTGTAATAATTACAAAATTAAATACTTGTATATTTTTCGTTTGAACAAATTTGTTTTAATAAATCTGGCGATGACTTCAGGAACGAATAAAATTCTGTACAAGACATTTTAAAGTTAACTTTTGTTAGCAACATTGCTTTTAAACTTGACACTTGAAGCTGTGTTTTTTCGGCCGTCCATAAATTGTTCATTAATGAAAAAATTCGTTCGACTGGTGCATTCGTAGCAGACAAGCAAAGAACATACTCAACAATTTTTCGAAAAATGATGTGGTTTAAATTGTTGTCTTGAAAGTACTGATTCTTTCCTTTTCTTTCTGAACCGCCAAAGTTGCGATTCGTATTATCTCCGCAGAAAGCTACAATTTTGGGTAAAATATTGTGTTTTCTCAGCACATCGGCAGCGTAAGATACAATAATATCTGAGTTTTCGCCGAATAACACTTTGAACTCTAAAATTTGACTTGCACGCCTTCATATGGTAAAAAATATCGTACAAGAATAGGAAACATTTTTTGTGAACCATGATATGATGCATTAGTTGAAATAGATACCCAAGTAGCAGCAGTGAGGTGCTTTTTCAAATCGGATATTACTTTCGGCGCAAATACGATTTTTATTATTGCCTCTGTTTTTGTACGCACGCATCTAAATTTCGAGTCAAAACACGATTGGATTAGTTTGGATGCACAATCGTTTGATCGAAAGCTGTGATTTTCTTGAACGGTATGGTAAGCCCAAACTCCTGC